GTCCTGCTGCATTCTCTCTGTGTACATGCGGTAATACAAATATTTACTGTTTGGATAGTGCTGGAGTGTTAACTTTTACTGCTAAGCAGCAGCTCTGATGTATATTGCACCAGGTTGATTTGTATAAGCTCTTGACAGTGAATTTAGCTGTAACTATGTTACACCTGTCTTAGGACAGACACCTTGCAACTGTCCCTTCTGGTTTTTGCCTGCTGAAGTAACTGGGCTGGAAGTGGCCCCTCATAAGCCAGGGTTATGCTGCTTGATTACTCTGGGCTCTGGCTTCCACTGCCTCTGGAAGCCTGCTAGGAAATAAGAGGTTTTTAGCCTGTTTTGTGCTTTGTTGTCTTCTCAAACAGCAGTAAAATCCCAGATTGAGGTGCATAAGACTCCAACATGATGACCATTTTTATACTGACAAAGAGCTCCACTAAGCTAGAAGGAGTCGCTCCAAAGTAAGCAGGACCAGGATCAAGCCTTGCAATCTTATAACTTCCTTCCACCCCCAGAAATACTCACTGACCTCTTCTTTTCCCCTCTCATCAAGCAGTAGCAATGTGAAATTCAGGAAAACAGCAGCAGCAGGAGCTGCAGCAGCAGCTGCTCCTTTCAGCAGTCCCAATGAGGCTGGGAGCACATTCCTTCCTATGTTGTGGTTTGCTGACTCCTCTCTTTGTCTCGTGTGTAATGGGAACAGAGCTTGTGGAGCGGAGAGCATGCTCCCAACAACAAATGGCTTCTGGGGGGGGTTTCACTTCACTTGGGCCTCATTCTGATCCTGCTTGTGTAGGTATGAAGGTGGGAAAATCCTGCTGTTTCTCTGGACCTGTTCCAGGTTCACCCCAGCAGAACTGGCAGGAGAAACAGGCTCTGAAGTAATTTCTGTGGTGCTCTGGTTACCCGCAGCAACTGTTTATTACTTTACATGTTCCTTCGCCATGAGAATTAAGTAACCTCTCAGGACTGCAACATCATCGTCCCCCTTGATTCTGAAAGGCACACAAACTGCTTGTAAGCTGCGGGTCTTTGTCCACAGAGATATTTGGGTTGTGGGGCTTGGTGCTTTGCAGAGCGTGTCAGGATCTCTGGGCTTCTTCAGCAGGGACAATGCAAGGAGGAAGCCCAAGGCTAAGCTGGGTGATACTGGCCATTTTGATTGATGTGAGGAGTTGAACCAGGTAGCTGATGACCTGAAAAGCAGGAAGTTTTTTGAGGCATGAGAGAATAAGATAGGTCTGCCTGTAACATCTTTCTTTGCAGACAGCCACAGCACTGGCTTGGTAGGTCCATTGGGGCAAGCCTCCACAGGATGTGTAGGATTCCCTGGCTGCATTGCTTTCCCATGGCTTTCCCCAGATACTGGTGAGGGTGGATGAGCATGTATCTTGCACCCAGTGCTTTTTCTGCACAGTGCTGCTATTTTCTTTTTTCATTTATTCTTTCCTCATTATTTAGAAGTCTTCACAGTTCCTCTGAAATCCTTACTGGAGTGTATTTTTGATGGCCAAACAGGCAAGGCAAGGAACCTGTTTGTTTTTTTTTACTAATAGCAATTTAAGACAACATGCCAGCTTTGTTTGAGGCTCCTATTAGCACTGATAAGCTGATTCAGAAGTATTTTTTCTCAGTGATTGTAATATTCTAAGGGAAATGGCAAAAGCACCAAAACTGCTGTAAAAATCATGCTGTGTGCATGTCCAAGGATAACCTGTGGTGTAGAGCATCACTGAAAGACCTTGTGCTTTCTCTAGGCTTGGTAACTGTGGAGTTTGGCTTACAAGCACTGGCCATGGTCAGAAAGGATCTTGGAGTACGCTTGGAGCCTCCCACTTGCCACAGAAAACCCAGGCAAAAACTTACTAGTCTGATCTAGCCATGAAGGGCAGCAAGTTAGTTTATGCTGCCAGAAAAAGTGATCCTGCAGTGTGAAACATAAGATTCAAAGAGCAGTGAAATGCCTCAGTATTTTCAATAATGTTGGGCAGCTTCTGTTTGTCCATGCTAGGATTAATATTTGACATTTGGCAAATTAATGTATAGTTTAGCAAACATTTTCCTATTGTCAATTTTTGTTTAATCTACCACTGAAACTGCCATTACTGGATTTGTGGGTTCAGGCCTCTAGGGCAACTCATGAAACCATATCACAACAAATCCCAGAAGCATCTGAAATGTGTGTGTTTAGATATACATGGATAGGTAGATAAATATAAACAGCAAAAAAAAAATTGCTTTACAAACATGGATATTTAGAGGTGAGTTTGGGGAGGAAGGATGAGAAATCAGTTTGTTCTATAAGCCAGGTCACCCCTACTGGTGTTCATTAGGGGTTTGATGTGGCCATCGTCATCATCGCTTGGGCATGATTTGCAGTGGGAGCTGACATGCCTGGTATCTTGAGGGACGTTGTGGGGAAAGTGATTAACTGCTGACAACTTCACTCTTTATATGAGTTTTTTAAACATCAGAATTTTCCTGCTAGTGTGGCTTGTTTGGCCTTGACACTTCCCAGTGGATGAGCAACATGTGGGTGCAGAATTCTTCCTAGGGGAGAAGGAGACCTGCTGCCATGCTGAAGTTCCTCTTGCAGCACAGCGATGTAGGGCCAGGAGCTCCTGTAGGGCACAGTGTGCTTCCTGTGAGGACTAGCCCATGAGATAGACCTCTCTAGCTTTTCAGAGGTGGGCGTCTCTACATTTATTGCAGACAATTCTAGTTACTCTTAGTCTTGCTGGCTCTACTCTTTCCAAGAAAGGATGTTTCAGTAGAGTCAGTGCACGGAAGTGCACAGTATTCAGTTTATCTGTGCATTTTAGCTTTAAAATTCATGATGTTTTTCCACCATTAGTGGCTTATGATTTTCTGGAACTTTCAATGCTTAGGCTGTTTTGCCAAGCTGTTCTTTGCCTGAGGGGTAGATTAAAAAAAAAAAAGGCAATCTGACAGTCCTATGAAGATACTGAAAATAATTATTTGTTTCTAGTATAAAGAAAACTGGTTGCTACTTTCTTTTTTGGATTGCATCAGTGTCTCTGCAGCTGGCTGTAGAAATTTGATACCTCATCCAAAATAGATTAGTCTTTCCCAAGTAAGAAACTGGCTATTCTATGTAGGGAAGTGACTCCATTGGAAATCACAGGAATTGGACTTACGTGAAAGAGCAAGTGCAGAATGAAACTGGAAGTGTCAAGTCCAAGAGGGAAAGAATTTTTTAAATTAGAAAAAGATCTGTAAATGTATCTTGCCTAGATAAAAGGAAAATCTGTTTGAGTTTAGCATGTTTAGAGATTTAATTGGGGACTTTCAAAATTACAAGTGTTGGATTGCCTCAGATCCTTCCTGGAAAAGCAATGCTTAAAGTACATACATCTGCATGGATTATTTTATAATTATATGAAAAGGTCTTATTTGCTAATAGTGCCAGCACCTTTCATTGGTGCTGTTCACGAATATATAGTCATGTATCAACCATTGCTTAGCAATCATAAATAGGAGACTGCAGAGGATCCAGATTCTTCATTCCAGCAGTCCCTGGTGCTTTGTTGCTCTCCCTCGGGGCCTGGCAATTTTTTCATTCCTTGATATAACCACTTTGTTCTGCAAATGAATCACCAGTTTTCATAAGATCAGCATGAAAGCACAGAGTCAGACAAGCAAGCTTGTTCTAGCTTGTGTACTTAATGGGTCTTTTTTCAGTCCTGTCCCTTTCTTTCCTCTTTTCCTCCACTCCACCAGCACTGTTGCAGGGCAGGCAGTGCCTTGTTATGTGCGTCTCTGTATGGTGATCTGTACCTCATGTACAGAAGTGAGTGGCATAGGGTCTCTTGGAAACCCCACACTAGAAGAGTGAATTGTAAAATGAGAGAGTTTTCTGGGTCCCTCCCTTTTTTTTATTAACCATTTACAAGAAAAAATGTCTAACAGTAGTTAGAATAAATCTACTGCTTTACAATAGTTACATTTCAGAAAAATTTCAGGTTTTCTGCATCTAAGTCCCTGCAGTCCTCCTGTATGTATTCTGTTTTATGTATCTTTGCGCCTAAGACACCTACCTGATACAGGAGTTTTCCTGGACAGGAAAGCAAGTGAGCCATTCTCATGAACTCCAGAGTCCTAGGGAAGAATTTTAAAATTATTGAATTCTTACAATATGTAGCCTTTTTAAAGCCTTTAAAGTGTATGGCATAGGTCCACACAGTAAAAATTGCCTATTATTTACTATAGAGTTGCTGTTTGCAAGGTTGTGTTTGAGGTCTGAGGCCCACCAGACCATGGGGTCCCTGAGAAAGTGAGACTAAGCAGAAAAAAAGCCAGGGAGTGACAGTAATGCAGCTTTATGTATTGGGAACAGCAACATGAATGTTCAAGTTTCTGCATGTAACTGAGTTGCCCAGGTTTTCATGAGAAATCTATGATGGGGCAGGGATTATCTGTCCAGAATGCTAGTCCTGTGAATTAGCTGTAAGCACTGCCTGTCCCTTCAGAAGTACCTCAAAAACTTTTGCTTTTGAAAAAAAAACACAACAGTAATTCATGGAAACATTCTCCCACGCATTCTGGGAGAACAGGCCATCAGTCAGGACCTTCTGTGTGGCTGCAAGGGCAGAGCTGCACTCTAGGGAAGTGAATAATCTGTTAGCAGAGATTTAGTTAAGTCAAATAAAATTAATTAAAATAGAAGAAAATATTATTTTATGTGATAAAAGGAACAAAAGCACATGGAAGAGTTACTGAACTTGTTTAGAAATGTTATGGTAAACCATTTCAGACCTATTTCTGCTTCTGTTTGTGTCAGTGAATTTTGTCATGATGGTTACTGTTACAGCTTCCATCATAACTTCTATAGAGGCATTGCAGATTTAGCTGTCTCATCTCCATGGACCTTTAGGGATATTGTGTCTCTAACCACCTTTGGAGTAACCCAGGCTTAAAATCCAGAGTGGAACAAGGGATTTTGCTATGAAATAAAATGAATGCAATTAATTATGTTTTGTATGCAGGTCTGGAAGTGTCAGAAATCATTGGACAGAGATTTATTCCTTTGTGGAAAGCCTAGCTGAGAAATTCATAAGGTAAAGTTTTCTTAAGATGATATTTGAATTTGCTAATAGACATAATTTATTTTTTTCTTCACTGCCTCTTAGCAGAAATGTGTCTGATGTGGATATGGCTTGTTCTTTTTCAGTCCAATGTTGCGGATGTCTTTCATAGTTTTTTCTTCACGAGGCACTACAGTCATGAAACTAACAGAAAACAGGCAAGTGCTCTACAGCTTTAATCCAGAAATACCTTCCATTCATCCTCTCAAGCAGTGAGTGGCCCCAAAACCAGAATTCAGAGCTCTCTCTGCCCTTGGTATAGCACCAGCTGAAATATTTTCCACTGTTCCCAATGGGAAGAAGGCTTAGGAGGTCTTTGGGTCTCCCATTACCATTGTTTTCAGCCTTTTAAGAGAGGTAGCATTGAGCTGTCTGTTCTTTCTTGCAGTGTTTCAGGGAGGAACTCTATTTCCAGTGAAGGATTCATATACATCCCTGCTGTCCTCAGCTATCCAAATAAGGGAAGTTTTTGTGTAAGGCATCTCAGACCATGAGTTCATGAGCAAAATACTGAAAGTCTCACAGTGCTCTTTGAAGTACACTAAGCCCAGAACCTGATGCCAGCAAGCTGGTCCTACCCAGTGCTGGAGCTCTGCCTCACCAGGCTTTTACACCCCTCTCCTGACCTGCCCTCAGACAGCACCTGTGCCAGAGGTGTCCCATTTTTGTGACAGGGTCATAAGTTTTAATGTTTTTCAGAGTTGAATATCTGGCATTTGCTTTAATTCAATCTTACTCTGCCTGACAGCATACAAAAATAAAGAGCAGGAACTGAATTGCACCCTTAAAATGTTAGTCCCAATGCTGTATCCTATGTCCAGTGTTCTGCTCCCTTGAAGGTTTGGCTGAAAAATTATATTGCCAATGTTTTATCTGGTGTATATGCACTGTGCAGTGTATTGGCAGGGTGCATAAACTAGTTGTGGTACACAAATATCTCAACACAGGAAAACAGAACTTGTAATAAAAATATTTTCTCCTGTTTTTTCTTATCCAAAGGGAAGCCATAAGACGAGGGCTCAACATTCTTCAGCATGAAGTGCCTGGAGGAGACACGTTCATGCATGAAGGATTTAAAAGGGTACACGTCACAGTACCTCCGTTCTTTGATTTATACATATAAACTTTGCTTTGCCTGCTGCTGCTGTACTTAACAGCTAACAATGTTCTACATTTTGTTGCAGGCAAATGAGCAGATTTACCATGAAACCTATGGAGGTAGGCTTTGTATATCACTTGTTATATATCTGCATTGAAAGGACAAGGATGATAGGTTTTTTTATTTGACCTGCAATAAACTCGCCAAGAGAAGTGTTGGAGAAGAAATTGGTGTTACACAATCACTACATTCCATTTTGACTACAACTCTACTTTTTAAATGTGTGATTCATGGTTGATTAAGACCAGAGGAGACCAGTATGATCACAGATCTGACCTAGTGCAGAATACAGAACCGGGCAGAACTGTTTGCCCTGCACTCAGGGGATAGGAATACCTAGAATTTCTTGTGCCTTTCTGTCCTGATCCACTCAGCCTTGTCTGCCTGGGGTGTCCACATCTTTGTTCTCATTAGTGCAGGTGTGAATGCAGTCAACTAAGACTTTTGTATCAGTGTGGATGAACTGAGATCAATTTCTGAGTTCCTAAAATGTAAATTTTCTCTAAATTTCAAGAGGGAAATATATTTGTGGGTTTTTGTCTGTGCCAAAAGAAAGTCTGATTAGTTAAACTGAACACTTCTTGCCTGGATTTTATCCTGGTGTGAGATTGTTCTCATTTGTGAGCTGATGGTCTCTTTGGAAGATGGAGAAATGGGTCAGTGCCTTTTTAATAAAATAGGTTACGAGTGTAGAGTCTTCAGCAGAAGCTTTGCATGGCTTCTCAGATGCTTCTGCCAGCAAAACCAAAAGTTCTTTAGAGTCCAGATGAAAACTATTTAAACTCTTCATGACGTACATCTAAGAGCTAATCAACTATTCTGTAAGGTGATTAGGAAGGCAAAAGGAGTAGATGGGATTTCTGTTCATAAGCTAAAATATCAGGGAAGAAACAAGTGTTCGAAAGAAAAAAAAAAATATTCAATTTCTCAAATATGCTGGGCAGGAAAAAAAAGAAATATGGGATTTTTTCCCCTCAAGTTGCAGGTCATTTTTTTCAAGGTTTATGTCTGTGTCTGACATGACATGGGAAGGACTGCATGGCATAAGAAACCTGTCAGAACTAATCAATCTTTAATTTCAAACAGTATGTGGAAAGACACTTGAAATTGTAACAGATTATTTTGAAAAAATAACAAGGACTTCCCTGAAAACAGCATGTATTTGTATTAGTTACTTTGCCTAAGAACTATAGATGCAGAATGATTGATTGAAACATAGTTTGCACAATGGTTTGTTTTATTATGGTTAAGATGTTGCATTTTTCTAGGTAGTATTTGTATTCTGTACTGTGTTACCTATATAGCTATCCAATGTCTATGCAACATTTTTATTTAAGCTTAGGTGGGATACACAATGTCTTATGCATGAATTTTCTTCAGTGGACCTGATCTTAAGTTTTTCATATGCTCAGATTTCCAAAGAGTTTCACTGATAGCTGAAGTGCTGGAAGTGCAGGACTGAGCCCCCTATAGAAGCACATTTCATGCTGTGTTTGGTGGGAGTTGCTCCTTGAAGGTGCTAGAGGGGCAGGTAGGATTGCAGGAAAGCTCTTTTTGCCGAGGTATCTCTCACCACAGTCTCTGGGCAAGCTTTATGTAGAGACATGTTTGTCAAGAGAAGAGAGGAAACCTCTTCCTCTCAGCGGATGTATTTTGCCACTTCTTCACGTGAAGGGCCTAGCTGTAGTCCTGGTAGGTGCTATATTTTCCATGGAACAGAAAGTTTGTATTTTATTTTAATTTCTGAATCTTTTGTCACATATATGCAATTTGTTAACTATCCTTCATGTAGGAGTTCGGACTGCTAGTGTTATTATTGCTCTGACGGATGGAGAATTGCAAGAAGTTCAGTTTTATTATGCAGAACAAGAAGTAAGTCACCTTCACATTTACCCAGACTATGTTAGTCAAACCTGTAGGCATTTACTGTTAGTTCCACTGATTGTATAGCTTTGCATTTAGTGGTAATTTTTTTTATTTAGGCCAACAGAGCCAGAAGCCTTGGGGCTATTGTTTATTGTGTTGGAGTGAAAGATTTCAATGAAACTCAGGTAACTTTGCTTGCTATCTTGTTTTGGTTTTATGTTATACTACTGTACAAGTAACAGCATCAGATGAAGGCATTTTTTAAATTACTTTAGGCATAAATCATTTTGTGTCAGCATGATGTCTTTTTGCAAGTATTAAAGGGCCTGTTTTTTTCACTGTAATTTTGTTTTCCTCATGATTTATGATTGTCTTTCTTTGCAGCTGTCAACAATTGCTGACAGCATCGATCATGTTTTTCCAGTTACAGGAGGCTTTTATGCCCTAAGAGGAACCATTGATTCAGTAAGTTGGATATTCTGAAACCAAGAAAATGGCACCCTTTCCTGTATTAATAAAGCATGAATTTAAAATGACTGATTACAAAAAATGCCATTATCTAAATCTTTTAGATTCTCAAGAAATCTTGCATTGAGATCCTAGCGGCTGAACCATCAAGTGTTTGTGCAGGAGGTAAGTTTGCAGGAGAACAGTGTGATAAGGCAAAATGAATGCCAGTGATGAAATGTCAGCAGCTACCTAATGTGGTATGGAGCTGAAGCCCATGGATGTGTTAGGTCGTCCCCTCAGGCCATGGCTAAAGCTCCATGTGCTCCTTCTCAGCTCAAGAAAATAATTGTGCTGATAAACACATCACTGCAGCTGAATGCCAGCTTGAAGAGTTAGCTGAGGTGGTGTTTGGGGAACTGGGGTTACTGTTTTTTAAAATATGAGACAAGGAGAAGTGGTGTGAATTTGGACTGCCAGAGGTGTTCTAGTGTCTAAAGGCGATGTCTTGTGAATTTCTGGAAAGACTGCGTTCCTGGGATCTGCGAGGACTTGTCAGCAAAATAGATCAAGATTTGCAAAACATTCACAGACATTTCAGGTTTATTGAACCAGATATAATTAACTGCATAGGTCAGGATACCAGATGTGTTTTCCAAAGTACTAATGTTTTACTTAATTACAAGGAACTATTAGTGTAGATGCAGATGGTAAACATGAAGAATTTCCAGAGAAGCTATTGATAATTTTATGCGTTTCATGTCTAGAGTATTTACTTTGGATTTGTTTTGGTTTATGTTAGCATTTCACTTGCTGTGTCTGTCTACTTAAGAGGTTATTGCAGCAGAGTAAGAGTGACACCGTAAGTTTGCTGGAAGGTACAGTTTACAGCATGGTTATTTAGATCTGGTGTCTTGTGTTCATTTTCTTATACACTAAAAATGAGCACAGAAAGAATAGCAATGATGCATGAAAGCTGACCTTGAAAACAGATAAAAATAGGAAACTCAGGAGAAATCTAACATATCACAGAGAAGATAAATTGTTCACTCTTACTTTCCATGTGTCAGTCACAGTATGATCTTACCCTGAGTATTTCAATTTAAAATGAAATACCCTTTTATCTTTTGAACTATTTCTAAATATATAACTGTGGACTAGATGTTTGTGATAAGATCTTGTCTGTGGAAAAATAAAAAATAAATGTTTTTGCTTTAAAAATCTTCATGTGGAGTTGATAAAACACAATTTTAAAGATTTGACATTTCAAAGCTTTTTTATTTCATACTGATAAATTATTTTTTGCTTGCTTATTGTATACCAGGGAATTTTTTGTGTAACAGCTTATTGCAAGCTTTTCTGTTAAGCAAAAGTTGCATTTAGGTACATGATAATGTGAGTGTTCCAATAGGAGGGATTTCAGCAGTAATATTGTAATTATTTGGAACAATGTTAAAAGTGTTGGAAAGTTTAATTTGAAAATGTTTTTCAAATTGAAGTTGTCAAGAGAAGATTTGCTTTTCAAAAACGAATGTATTTCAGCAAAAAGAAAAATTTCTAGTTTCAAAAGGAATCAATTTAGTTCCTGATTCATGAGGTCAAGCCATTTCATTTTTTTGCCAGGCTTGCTAGGTAACTAGTTTATCGCAAACATGATTAAATATTTTTAAGTTTACTTGTATATAATTTTCTCTCTTTAAACAACAACAACAAAAAAAAACAACAACCAATATAAAAGTTGTTGCATTACTTGCTGTTGAAGATTTCAACACTTGCATCTGGAAAAGTTTTTCATTGTTTTTGTGCCTTTCAAGTAAGACCAATATAAATCGGGCAGAACCAGTTTCTGTGTATTGCTGCTGATGCAGAGACATCCTGGCACTTGTTTCACTTCACTTCAGAAGTTTGTTCTGTTCCTGTTGACAAAAGCATCCAGCAAAGGCTGACACATGGTGAAGTGTGGTGCTGAATCACCAGGGCATGAAGACTTGGATCTCGCTTGCTTGAAGCTTTGCTTATAGCAGCAGGGAGCTTGAAAATAGAAGGAAACCAAAACTGCAGCTCTGAGTGGTGCAGGCTGGTGTGTTAAATGGTCTTTAGCACGAAGAGTCAGGCCTGTAATAGCTTTTATTGTTAGTCTAGTCCTACAGGCCTCAATTGAAATGAACTCCTGCAAGAGGTCTTACAACATGAGACTGCAAATATTTATACTTGTGCTTGGCTTTATTATGCTTTATTATCCCACTTACTTTAACGTAGCTAGAAGTTTGCCTTTATAGCTGTGTGCACCACTGTCTCCTGGAGGGAATCTCCTGGGTTTGAACAATGTTTTTCATGGTAGTGTGAATCCAGATACTGAATCTTGTTCACTGGACAGTCAGGTATAGTTCTACTCTATTTGTAATGTGATTATTTTTAAAGTGTACTTCATCTGGACTTTTATACAAAAAATACTAAAGCCTGTGAAGTAATTTCAGAATTGTAATGCATTTTAAATTTAGGAAATTACTAATATAGTTTACTGATACCATATGGGTAAGATATGTAGCCATTGACTCCTATGTAGATATATGTCTAAATTTAGAACTGGCTTCTAGAAAAGCAACATTACTCCTCCTTTTTTCTAAGTCAAGAATTTTATTTTTGTTGTGTTTTTTTTTAAATGAATAATTAAAATGCACAAGGCTCTTTTGAAAGAGCCTTGAAATGTGGCTCTTTTTTTTAGGAAGCTTATCTGAGTAAGGAGGTGATAATCAGTTAGGCTTTTATTTAGCATTGTTACTAATTTTTAGAGAGGGCTTCATGTTGCTCAGTGGAAGCCAGTTGTGATCAGGGCTTAGAGCAGACTCTGGAGAACTCCTTGTAAGTGTTCTTGCTGCTGTGTTGGTGATTACTGGAGAGTCTGGCTTCATTTTAGATTTGCTACAGGTTTGGTAAATTGCTGATGAAACAATATCTATGTAGGACTCAGTGACAAAGCTATTTGACAAGTCCATTTACAAACTGATCTTGTTCTGTGATGACAGCTATCTGATGCTTAATGCTTTTTGAACCTGCAAATTTATCATCCTCAATGCGGAGAAAGGTAGTTGGTTCTTCCCTATTCTCTCTGATTTAAAGTGACCAAGACATGCAGCCTGTAAACAGGCTCTCAGTGCAGAATTGGAGGTGCCTCATATCCTGTTTGACAGCATCATTGCTTTGATTATGCTTATGGTACGATTGAAAGGTTTTGTTGGATGTGGCATCCTACTTGGCCACATCAACTACCAGGTGTGTATACAAGCCGTCAGCTTCTCGTCAGAGTCACAGAAGTGAAGGCGACAGCACAGCCCGCGCACACCAGCTTCAACCTACCATCTCGCTGCCAGCGCCGCCTGGTTATTTCAGTGCTGACCTTTTTCCCTTTGCTGTCTTGTCAAAAGCTACAATCTATGATCTGACAGTAACTAAGGAAGAAAAGGACGCAGCCAGAGCCAGGGTGCAAAATTAAATGGAATTAGCCATTTCAACAGACCATCATCCAGAATGCGTGAATGCTCCAGAGCATCCGAAGGGGCAGACTTGTTAACAGCAACAGCCAAATTCAATATCAACTGTTCACATTTCCATGCAGGTCTGGTATTGAGACTATATTGTCAGCTTCTGTTGGTGGACAGATCACTACCAAGTCAGTTAGTCACAACTGACTGTGCAGAGTGGCAGTGACAGGGCAAAGAAGGGACAATCTTGACAAGACTAAACTACATGTAGTTTTTACCTTCAGTATTTTGTATTTGAAGTGTCTTACTTGTTGCCTCTTTTTAAAGTCATTGGAATAGCTCTCAGTTATGCCTTTGTGGTTGTTGCCTTTTAAGACCTGTTCAGGATGGGGAAAAGGGGAAATAAATCTACTTGCAATTTTATTTCAACAGGCTACTTTTATAATATAAAATTGAGAGACTCTTAGCTGAGTGTTCAGGTAACTGTGAAGTGGGCTGGCTGCAGGCAAGTCTAGGGTAATGTGTGGTCCCAGTCAGGTAGTAGTTCTGCTAGGTGGGCAGAGGCCTGATTGCCCTTAGGGCTGGTCATGACTATCAGGTCTGCTGGCAAAAAAAGGGATGCTTGTCAAGAATAACTCTTGGTGTGTCAGTTGGGTTAAATGTGGAGTAACTCAAGGCATGAATCAGAGTAACTCCAGATTCCTGTTGAAGTAAAAAGCAGCTTAATCTACCCTGAACTCCAGTTTTATTTGTTTCAAGAAAGTGCCCTCCATCCCCAGTGGGAATTAGGAGGTATAACCCTTTCCTTAAAGTGGCCAAATTCTGATGCTGGCTTTGTGTGCGGCTCCTGATATGCTCGGTGAGGTCTCAAAGTTGATCAACTTTCTTCAGCAAAGTGTCAAAACATGTGTTCCACTTTAATATGCATTCCAGTAGATATTTTGGGAGATGAAAAAGAAAGTATCTTCTCTGATTCTTGTGTTCCTTTCGTTGCAGCCTGTGTCAGTTCAGAGCACCGCTCTAAGGGAAAGTTACCATGAGAGAAACCAAAGTATGGGTTTCCAGTGCTTGATCATAATTTGTCCATGTCTTGTTTAATTCACATAGAGTTGCATTATATCTGAATGTGTTGAGAATGTGTTTTTGGCAAGATCAAGCTGTTTGTTAAAGCACTCCAACTCCTCATGCTATCTTGCCTTGCAGTAACTTAATAGTGAAGAGCAGGCAGACTAATCTGAATATGTATTTCAGACACCTCTAGGCCTCATCCAATAATTAGTCCTTACTCCAAAGAATACAAATAACATGGCAGTGCATAATATGAAGTGTTACCAAAAGCCCGACCTCATATCACTAAAAATTAGGCACTGCTTCCCTCAATCCTACTAACATTGTTTTTCTTTCATTTTTAGGATGGTGGTCTACAGAATATACTTTCATGCAGTTTATTCTTATTTTTCTATGTGTGGCTTGATTATTTTGTCTTCATGATAGACATAAATTCACCTGATACCACTTTTCTCTGTCCCTTCCCTGTGTACATTTCTATTCCCAGCAAATGCTTGGCCAGGCAGATCACCTTACTGATCCCTCTGGCAACAACAGAGGGTTATTTTTCAGGTGTATAAGCAAATTCAGTGCACTGCAGCGTGATTAGTGGTGTCAACAAGTGGAGGGCATACGCAGTTGGGATCTCACTTCTGGTAGCAGCATTCCTAGGTTGGCTTTACTCAGATGTAAAAAGACTGAGATGCCCTCTCAGTATCATGACTGAAGTAACAGAAGTTGAGAGCATCTAAAGGCCAGGTTTTTCAGTCTGGCCAGCAATAATGTGTCTGTTGTGGCAGGTCTCTTCTTGTGCTCCTGATGGTTTCTGCTGGTGGGGAAGAGGTATAGGGGAAGAGCATGAAGGAAATTGCAGCCCCTGGGTCTTCAGTTATTCCTACATACAGCAGATGCTAACAGGGCTGTGCACAGGCACAGTTCTTGCATGGACTGAAGGACTGTTTTTCCAGCACTTGTACCATATGCAGAACTTCCTCTCCAATTCGCAAGGGGGCTGTACAGGAAGTCCTGTTTGCATCTGTCTGAACAGAGCTGCTGCTGAAAGTGCAGCCTGTTGTGGAGGTAGGAGGTAGGACTGGTGTGTATTGTTAGCAAAAACATCTGTCCCAAAAGTCATGAAAGAATCATGAGATTACATCAGTCATGTCAGGCTCACAGTATTACTCTGGTACTTTTAACTAGGGCATGGGGGTCAGCAGGATGCTTGTGGGAACATCATTGATATGAATGTTGCTCCGTGAAGCAGTAGTGCCACTATGGGACTCTTGACCGTTGCTGCTGAATATTGAGTGTTGATGTTTTGTTTCAGGCATAGGGCAGAAAACAATAATTGTCATGTTGTAATTCCTGTTGTAATTCTGGAAGGAAATGGTGTATTAGAAATATCTTTCATTACTCTTTTTTTTGTTTTTACTTGCAGAATCATTTCAAGTCGTGGTAAGAGGCAATGGCTTTTATCATGCAAGAAATATCGACCAGGTGCTCTGCAGCTTCAAACTCAACGACAGCCTTACTATCAGTAAGTCTGCAGGCTGGCAGATCTTGGTGTCCTCTGTGGCTGTGTCAGCTCAGGAGTGGCAGAAGTGACACAGCCCACCTCTCATCTGTGTTGGGAGAGTCCTTGCAGTGGATGTGGGGGAAGCCAAGTAGGGATCTATACCTAACAGAAGCTTGAAATGCATCTTTAGCCAATCCAGGGGATCTCTGGACATTGCATCACAAGGGTTAAGGGGTGTGTGCTGCTGTGTAAGGATATTATCATCATTGTAATGGTGTATGTGGGTGTTAAATTACAGCCAGTGAGGTCTGGGTATTAGGTTTTAAGAGGGAGAAATAAAATTGCTCCCTATTGCCTTGTTCATTATGGTAAAAGAAATAATGCTGTCTTGATCCTTTGATGTCTTCAAACTCTTTATCCACAAGTTAAGGAGACACTTGCCATAAAGCAGGGCCCTCCCAGGCCTGCTCCATTTCTCTCTGACACCAGTTGCTGGTTTCATCACAGTGAGCACAGAACTTGGAAACTGCTCATCATTGCTGTGCTTAACTGAGTCTTTTGTTTGCTCTCTCAGCAGCCAGGCAAAGGACTGAATGGCCAAAAAAGATTGAGTGTCCAGTTTCTCAGCAGTCCTCTTATTCTGAAAGAGTGCAGTGCATGTCTGGCAGGGTGAGGCACAGCATGGGGAGGGGAGCTTTGCTCTCTGGTGTATGTGCTACCCTTGTTGGCTCAGCACAGTAGAGGCTTTCAAATCCTTTCATGGTCAGACCAGTGCCTTCCCTAGCAGTGAATTCACTTACATTAGGGAGCACATGAATTGCTCCTTCATTTTGCCTCCTAATTTCCTGCACGGAGGCTGCATTAAGTGAACTCTGGTGTCTTTCTTTTATTCTACTTACAGATGCCCATTGCCAGGGGTTTGTTTATTGTGGTTTACCAGGTAGACAGACTTCTGTTTTTCTGTTGTGTTTTTTTCTTCATTGTCCCTAATGCACTGGCACTTTGACTGGACTTCACAGTGAGTGCTGACCTGGGCCTGGAAGTATACAGGAGGAAAACTACCCCGATTCCACATCTCCTCTGTGCTGTGTTCTCCTTGGGTTAGGTCTGCAGCAGATGTTGTGATGAGACACTGATTTTTGTTGGCTGGGTTTTTTACCCTCAGGCTAGCCATAAAGCATATCACTATAATTTCCATGGTCTCATCTCTGCCAAAACAGGGGAATGAGCTTTGTCTTCAGGTGTGCTTGGGGTGGGTGAAGCATGAAAGAACAACTTTTTTCTGTTGTGCTCTAGTTCATTATTTTTTTTCCTAGTTAGAAAGAATAATCAAGCCTCTAAGGTTTAAATAAGCTGGCAGCTTTTACCAGGGTTGGACTTTTGGAAACTAGTCTTTGGGCTAGCACATTAGCTGCTTTGGACCATTCAGAGTTGAGGTGCAGACACAGCAGTGACTTCTCTGCTCTTGTGACAGCTCACACAGTTTTAGTGGAGTGGAATTCCAAGCTTGCTGCTGGGCCTCCTCTTGGTGATCATGAAACTTGGCTTTCTGGATATGGCTTTTGAAAGCAACAGAATCAGCACTGCTGACTCTTGGAGCAGAGTGCAGGGAGGCAGGAAAACAACCATGGCCTTGCTTTTGACTCAGCCTGCAGCAGACCTCTATTAAACATGGGCTGTTTCTGGATAGTGCTGCCAGAGGGAAGTCTGGGGACAGCAAAAGCAATGGCTACTGCAAGACAGTTCCTCACAGTAACATCAGTCATGGCTCCTCTCTCCCTGTCTCCTGTATATGACCAGCCATGTTTATTTTTCCCCTCTGCTGTCTGTCCACTTAAGTGAGGCCTTGCCTCCTCTTGTTTGGAAGTGGGTGGGCAAAACCTGAACTTTGTACTTTTGACCTCTTGAGTAGCTTGTGGGGCCAGAGTATTCAGTCTGAGTAGAGTTTGTATGCAGTTGTCAGACAAAATGATACTGCTCAAAGCTGGTTTCAAAATGGCTGATTGCTGCTGTCAGGAGCAAAGATGTTCTTGCATTTCTTAGCTGTGGTATCTCTAGCCTGATAACGTTACATTGGCATCAAGAAGAATGGTCATCCTAGTATGTGGCTTTGTAATCAGTGCCACTGGGGAATATTGGTATTTGTATACTGAATTTGTCTGTGGTTTTCATTGATGTTAACACTTGTCAAGAGGGTGGTCTGTTTGGGACAGTTGTTTTATTTCATCCCTGACAATTACATTAATTTCTTTGCAGATGAGAAGCCAACCTTTGTTCATGATACTTACTTACTTTGTCCTGCCCCAGTGATAGAAGATGCTGGACAGTAAGTATTGCTTTCCAGCACATGTCAAGAGAGGGGACTTCTGGATGAGGATGTAATTACTGAGCCAAGGACTCAGAATTTTGCCCCAAGTGCCAAGCTAATACATTTTTGTGTGACAGGCTTACTTCCATCCCCTTTGTGCCAAATCCTCTCCTAGTCTGAGCCAGCATAGCTCTATTCAATCTTGGGTCTGTATCACAGCTTAACCAAAGGCCTTGTTGGACCATGGTCCCATATCATAGAATCATGATTTCTCCTCTGATCCTATATCCTGTTTTTTCACACCAAATTTCACACCATTTGCCAAAAGACAGTTGAATTCCAGGCAGACTCTTAGTTTTGACTGAAAAGAGATACTTTATTATAAACCCTTTTCTGCTTTTGTAGATGTTGCTTCCTGTGTTTTGCCTTGCTCTGGCTAGTTTTTGATATTTTTCAGCTGTCATAATCCTGCAGACTTATGGGAAACATGGCAAAAGGCCCTACCTTCCCCCATGGTGATCTTGTGGATGCTTAAATCCTGTACTGGGGGCAAAGGAAAGTTGTTTGGTGGTTTTTTTTGTGGGTTAATTTATTGTGTTGTTTGTTTTCTTCAGACTCTTTCTCTGATATTAGAGAGTGGCTAGGGCCAGATTCCTCTTTAATTTCACTGTCATTTCAGTTTTTTACCCCTTTACTTCACTGCAACTATTCTGGATTTACTTGGGTATAAAAGAATACACATTCTGGCTCTTTAGACTGTAGAAAGGTGTTTTGTTTTTGTTTTTAAAAAAGGGGAAAAAAAGTAAAAGCCTTGAAGTTCCTTGTGCTATGTAGTGTAGTATTTCAGATACCTGAGACTTTAAGACTCACTGTCCTAGTGCCCTTTGTCGCAGGTAGAATGGAGGTTTTTTTAATAAAGTGCATATGCCCCAGCTCAATTAAGCCAGCCTAAAAAGAGTAGCTTCTTGTCAAGCAGAGGCACAAATGCAGGTAAGTACCTGAAGCCATGAAAATGCCTTGACTCAGCAGGACAATTTATCCATGCATGTTCATGAGCCATTGGCTAAAACACAGCCAGAATAAAGGGGAAAATGAATATAAAGATGATACTAAAAATGAATGTATCTATTCTGTGCTTTAGGGTGGTTTTCCTACAAGTCAGCATGAACAATGGGCTAACGTTCATCTCCAGCTCTGTCAGCATCACCAGCACACAGTGTGTAAGTAATTGCAATGGGGCTCAACAGAGAAACCATGGGATCTTGGAAAAATAAGGTGACTCTTCAGGCAAAGCATGTTTGAGTGAGCATAAGCTCTCTACAGCTTCTGTATCACAGTTATTGACTGGATCCCAGCAGTTCTTTGAAAAATAATCAGGGCTAGTTAAGTTTAAATTGATATTGACAATGCATAGGTGATGATAGATATACTGAATAAAAAAATTCAGCAAAAGGCACCCAGCTCATTCCTATCCAAGGAAAAAGAGATCCTCAAAGTGTGGATCTGACTAGAAGGGAATCTGGGAAAATGAGGAAAGGTGCATGAGGAAGCAACATCCTGTTGAGCCTTGGGATTCCTCATAGGATCTGAGTTGAAAGGTGCAACTGCCAGGACTTGGATGTCAAAACAGCATAGAAAGTTCTTTAAATTTACACAGCTATTTCTGTTTTTGCTAGAGCTTCCAGCATTTGTTCTTGAATCACCACAATTTATCTTTACTAGTTCAGAATTTGCTAAGATGTTTTTACAGTTTAGTGACAGAAGCTGATTGCTTTTCTTCTGGTGTCACAGAGCATGACCAGAAAAATAATAGCTTCAGATCCTGGGATGAGTTTCTTGATAATAGGCAGCTGCTCAGCGTAGCTGGGGGACAACGTGCTGCTCTGGGACAGCGATGGCTGTGTTATGAGCATCTGGAGAAAAAGACCACCTATCCCCAGGTGGAGTGTTAGAGACCAACATCTAGGAGTGATCCTAGTGTGACTAGTGGAGTCCCACAGGGGTCAGTACTGGGACCGGTGTTGTTCAACATCTTCATCAACGACCTGGATGAGGGTATAGAATGTACCCTCAGCAAGTTTGCTGATGACACTAAGCTGGGAGGAGTGGCTGACACACCAGAAGGCTGTGCTGCCATTCAGAGAGACTTAGACAGGCTGGAGAGTTGGGCAGGGAGAAACATGATGAAATTCAACAAGGGGAAGTGCAGAGTTTTACATTTGGGGAAGAACAACACCATGTCCCAGTACAGGTTGGGGGCTGAACTGCTGGAGAGTAGTGTAGGTGAAAGAGACCTGGGGGTCCTGGTAGACAGGAGGATGACCATGAGCCAGCAATGTGCCCTTGTGGCCAAGAAGGCCAATGGCATCCTGGGGTGCATTAGAAAGGGTGTGGTTAGTAGGACAAGAGAGGTTCTCCTCCCCCTCTATTCTGCATTGGTGAGGCCACATCTGGAGTATTGTGTCCAGTTCTGGGCCCCTCAGTTCAAAAAGGACAGGGAACTGCTTGAAAGAGTCCAGCGCAGAGCTACGAAGATGATTAAGGGAGTGGAACATCTCCCTTATGAGGAAAGGCTGAGGGAGCTGGGTCTCTTTAGTTTGGAGAAAAGGAGACTGAGGGGTGACCTCATCAATGTTTACAAATATGTAAGGGGTGAGTGTCAGGGGGACGGAGTTAGGCTTTTCTCAGTGATGACCAGTGATAGGACAAGGGGTAATGGGTATAAATTGGAGCATAGGAGGTTCAAGGTGAATATCCGAAAAAAATTTTTTACTGTGAGAGTGACAGAGCACTGGAACAGACTGCCCAGGGAGGTTGTGGAGTCTCCCTCACTGGAGACATTCAAAACCCACCTGGATGAGTTCCTGTGTGATGTACTCTAGGTGACCCTGCTCTGGCAGGGCGGTTGGACTAGATGATCTTTCGATGTCCCTTCCAGCCCCTAAGATTCTATGATTCTATGATCCTTTATCAAAGTCTGATTTTAGAATCAAACAATAAGAATGACAAAGCTGGCTAATAGATAAACAGTCTTCTTCCTTGCCTTGCAGTAAACATTGAAAATTCCTATAGCTGGTGCAAGCAAGTACAGTAGTTAAAGATTTGGCCATGTGCTTGTGGCCTAAACAAAGTTTGCTGCAATACCTGATATACTTTGTATCAAAGTTGAGCCTTATTGCTACTAGTGTCAAAAGGACTTTCATACCCTACGCCAAATGCTGTCATATTCGTTTGTAATCATTGTTGGCCTTTTTGACAGCTGCAGAGCAGGAGGGCAGGAATGAAGATAGAGGCAGTGACTGGAACATGCAAATTGGAGTTTCTGATGTTTTCAGCAATAAAGCTGGAAAATAGCACACCAGATTGCTTGAACTGTCTGGGGTGCAAGGACTCAGAATTTAGCAGAGATATTTGCTGCTTCACCTCATTGTTTTTATTTTTCCAAAAACTTACCTCCAGATTTTCTATACTGAAGACTGATATTTTCATATTTTATTCCTCTTTTCTACCGCAGGTACAATAAAACCTTTTCAATTTGCAGTGAAACACAAGTGTTAATGGGTGCATTTAGTTACCCATATGTAGTTTATTTCTGATGAAGACTGAAGTCTTAGCCCTAGCTGGACTTCCTGCAGGCCAGAACATGGATGCAGAAGGCTTTTCTTTCAGTAGCCTGAGGATAAAGAGAGGACTCCAATCTCCAGTCCTGTCAATCTAACATTTTTTGACCAGCCCCTTGCAGATTGAATGTGAAGGAGGCAGGGAGCCTGATTCTCAGCTGTTACAAAAAATATCTTGTCCAATTACATCCCATAAGCAGGAAGGCTGATAGTTCAGTTTCCAACTTCATCTTAATTTCATGCATTTCACTCTTCTTGTTTTAGAGACTCCCTCCACCTCCTTTCCTCTCCTGTTTCCTTTTCTGTGGGTGGCAGTTAGCTGGCCTGCTCAGCTCTCCTCCCCAGCTGGCACTTCTGTCCTTTCTGTACAGTAAGTATCTTCACTTTACTCCTAAAGCCTCTGTGTGATTCCTGTGCTAACTTCTGTTCAGCTGTGCAAAGTCTGCTATTTCCTTTTTGAAGTCTAGCTTCACTGTGATGCTTTGTGTATTAAATCATTAAAAGAGGGCCCTTTAGCTTCTTGCTGCCAGCAGCTCCTGAGCTGCTGCTGGCAAATACCTTGGTGTTTTATATGAGCACTCAGCACGGGAAAAACAATGCCTGGAAACAAAGGCTACAAAACAAGGTCATGTGTGTGTCAAGTAACAGTAGCAGTGGTATGTGCATCTGTGGTTCATGCACTGCATTGGTGCTGTACTTGGATTTGTTTTTAAGCAGTGCAGCAATATTTCTTAAAGTTATGCTTGACTTCTGTTTATCCTTTTCTCAGCAAACTGACTTCACTGGGAATTCATGCTGCCCAAGTGTCTGCTTTCCAGATCTGTTAGTGCTACGTGGGGCCATAGGAGGGCCAGAGAGGGGGGTTGCAGTATGGAACTGCAGCTGTGTAGTGGGTCTTTTATCCAGAGCCCTTTGAGCAGGGGACATGTTGCAGCACTCTGTCTTGTCTTTCAGCTGCTCCCTGACCAAATTAATAGGGTGACCTAAATAGTGTATCCCAAACCAGGTCAGTTTGTTGCATCTGTAATAAGTCACAGAGCAGTGGAGGGGTGGTGATGCTGTGACACAGAGATGGGATACTGAGCTGCCTGCCTAAAGGCATGGAGTAAGTGTCATGGTTGTGTTAGTCCTGTTTTGAACATGCTAGTCCTGACAGCTCTAAGACCTGGCCTGAGAAAGAACTAGGCACCACCCAAGTCATCCACTCAGGATCTTCCCTAGACTTTGCAAAGCTCTTAGGACCTGATACTTTCTTTTCCACCCTCAGCCTTTTCATTTTCCAAGGGGGAAACAAACCTATTTGGAACAATGATGGGAACTCCTGTTGTAATAAGGGGCTCAGAATCAATTTCTGAGTGTCATGGGAGTTCAGCAAGTAGTTTCAGGTTTAATAAGGTCATTCTCATGGACTTTGTCCTCCATAAGTCTTCTTTATTTGTCCTCCCACCTATCCTTCTTTGGAAATCTCTTCCAGTTTCCTGTCTAGCCAGCTCCTATTCCCTCAGTTTGATTCACAAACCTTTCTTCAGGCGCTTCTCACATCTTCGTATTCCCAAGCTGCTCTTCAGTTTGCTGACAGTTTTGCCTGTTCTCTGGTACCCCTAGTAAATCAAACTTTCCTCAAACTCAGAAAATCTACTATGGAAGAGTTTTATGTTCCCAGTATAAAATAAGTGGCTGGAGCACCACAGCTAATCTTAACCTTATCCCAGAGCCTAGTTCAGTGCAGGGAAATGGTATGTTCCAGCATACCACTGCATGTCTGCAAAAGATGTTTAATTTCCAAAAAGCTGTGTGCTCTGTATGTTCTGCAGAGGCCAAGCAGTACGTGAAGACCTGCTTTCCTGTAGTCATCAGAGCAATACACAGAGAAATGCTCCAAGTACAAAGAATCCTTCAAGACTTACCCAGGAAAATCAGAGCTGTGGTTCTTTTCAATTGCCTGGCTGCTCAAAGGCTAGTTTGAAGTGTTAACACTTGACATTTTCTGGATATTAGTAATTGTGAAGAAAATTTAGCCTTGATTTTGAACGTAGTCCCTTAGATATGCAGAGTCCCATTGTTCTCTACAGAAAAACAGGTGGAATAGAAGAATCAGAAATGCTTAAGATCATGATTACAGCATCTCATTAAAAATAGTCCAGTCCTAGGAAGCACATGAGGAATCCAGCAACATTTTGGACTAGTTTGCATAATCATTTAGTTGGGGTTGAGTGTGCAGTTTGGGTCAAAGGCAACATAGGCAGGCTTGGGAGCTGGTGAGGCTGAGCACAGAAGTTGTGCTCTGTTCTGTGATGTTGATGTGCAAACAGTTACCCATAAGCTCTTATGCAGTCCAGGAAGGCTGGACGTACTTCAAGAAGGATGTCTTAAAGGTCCAGGAGCAGGCTGTGCCATGTGCCAAAAAATGGGCTGTCAGGGAAGAAGACAAGCCTGGCTGAACAGAAAGTGTTGGGACCACTTGTTTTTAACATCTTTATCAACAATCCTGATGAGATAGAATGGACTCAATAAGCTTACAGATGACACAAAGTTGGGAGGGAGTGTTGACCTGCCTGAGGGTAGGGAGGCTCTTCTGAAAGACTTGAACAGACTAGATTGATGGGCCAAGGTCAATTGTATGAGCTTCAACAAGGCCAAGTGCCAGGTTCTGCGCTTGGGCCACAACAACCCCCTGCAATGCCACAGGTTTGGGGAAGAATGGCTGGAAAGCTGTCTGGCAGAAAGGTACCTGGGGGTTCTGATTGATAGGCAGCTGAACGTGAGCCAGCAGAGTGCCCAGGTGGCCAAGAAGACCAATGGCATCTTAGCCTGTATTAGAAATGGTGTGGCAAGGAGGACTAAGTATGTGATTGTCCCTCTGTACTTGGCCTTAGTGAGGCCACACCTTAAATACTGTGTCCACTTTTAGGCACCTCAATATGGGAAAGATATTGAGGTGCTGGAGCATGTCCAAAGAAGGACAACAAAGCTGGTGAAGGGTCTTGAGGACAAGTCTTAGGAGGAGTGGCTGAGGGAACTGGGGCTCTTTAGTCTGAAGAAAAGGAGGCTGAGAGGAGACCTCATTGTCCTCTACAACTACCTGAAAGGATGTTGTAAAGAGGTAGGTGCTTGTCTCTTTTTCATAAGAAACTGGTGATAGAACAAGAGGAAGTGGCCTCAAGCTGTGCCATGGGAAGTTTAGACTAGACATTGGGGAAAGCTTTTTCACTTAAAGGGTTGTCAAACATTCGAACATTCTGCCAAGAACAATTCTGTTGAATCATCATCCCTGGATGTATTTAAAAGTTGTCTAGATGTGATGCTTGGGAATATGGCTTAGTGGTGTATTTGGCAGAGAAGGGTTAATGGTTGGCTCAATAATCTTGAAGGTCTTTTCCAACCTAAGTGATTCTGTGATTTTGTGTGATTCTTAGCTCCATTATTCCCATTCTTTGAATATTGTCATTTGCATATTCTGCAGCATCTAGTGACTGCACATCTGAGACTCTGATCACGTAGTTTGCAGTGCCCTTCTTGACAGTTTTAAGGGACCTGTTAGCTCAGATTTGAAAATGGTTTGTATGAGTTTTAACACCATTGAATATAGCAGGATAGAAGTACGTAGTAAGTTTATACATATACACACCACAGCAAGAGGTTCTTCCATGAATCATGACTTCGAATAAAGATTTGTCACACCAAACACTAATGTAACCCTAATGACTAGAGTGACTGCACAATGTACCTGAGACCTTGAAATAAGGGAAACCTGTCTCATTTTGCCCAGTCTAATTGTGTAACTTCAGGGCTCTTGCCTTGTCAGTCACATGCACAGATAACTCAGAAATAATCTTGTTTGCAGTTGACTGGGACCATACTTTTCATTGCTCTCCTGATACTCTTTCTGCTGCTGGCTCTGGCTCTTCTGTGGTGGTTCTGGCCTCTCTGCTGCACAGTGGTAAGTACAGGTTTTTATTCCTTTGACTTGGTTTCATTTCCTCTCTACAATAGCACAGAGGTAAAGTGTTGGAGTGGATGGTTATCTTGGTTTAAGAAAAATGCTGACAGGTTTGTAAGGCTCTTTTTCAACAAATTGCTTAAAGTGCTTGTTGAAGTCACTCTGGTCTGTGTTTTGAACATTGCAAAGCCTACTTGATTTTGACACTAAATGAGAAGTTTTAGTGAGTTTGTGGGTGTGGCCCAAGTTTCTATAGGGATTGAGACCTCCTTAGAACAAGTTTGAAGCCTGCTGCAGAAGAGTGTAATGAAGTTGATTTATTAATGTGTGCATAAGCTGTCATGGTCCTTTTAAAAAAGAGTTAGGCTTTCTTTTTCTTTTCAGAGGAGCTGCAGATTGAGTATTTTGCAGTAGCTGGATAATCATATGCAAATGTTAAGGCAGAACTACCAGAATATGAGTTACTTAATAGGGCACTTCTTGTCTAATCACATAGTTCAATGTGATGGATTTAGCTTCTCATCTGCATTTGTTTTGTGCCTGCTGAAAGCAATGGGGCTAATGAGAGGATCTCTCAATGGCCCATCTGTGATATGAGCAAGAAAGCAGCAATGACATAGTATTGAGATGGATGAACCCTACCATTATCTCAGATTTCTCTCATTGTTTCTGTATTTCAGGTCATCAAGGAGCCACCGCCACCACCACCTCCAGAGCCCGTAAGTGTGTTCTTTTTGAGCTGTTGCACTGTCTGCAGCCACTGTATTGTATTGTGCTTCCCAGGAATATCAGCCATGTAGGTGTCTTAATGGCACCTTGAAGGCTGTGAGAGGAAGATTCTTGTGTCAGGACAGTTATTTATGCCTTCTGGCCTCTTCATATACACAGAGCAAGATTTTCGTCCACAGGGAAAACAGTTGCATAACTCAGACATTCACAGAGCACCAGTTCTTATGATGATTTGTTCATTTTGCTGCACACCAGGCAGGGGTGTAGGCAAACCTTTGTTTCTCAAGGTGTGCTGAAAGCTGTCCTTCAGTAAATCTGCCATTGTTCTCAACAGGAGTTTAGCCCAGATTGGCAGTAAGGAACAAAGTCTTGCAGCTGGAAGAGAGGACATGGAAGGCCACATTCTTAAGGCTTTGCTACAGGAGAGGGAGACAGGAGTCTGCCCTAGCTGTGGCTCTGCTGCAGGGTGACCTTTGGAAGGACATTTAGCATTTCTCCATTTAGGTTGTGAGCTATTTGAGGCAGGATTGGATTTAGCTCTTTTTGGGTCAGTAACACACTGACCCTGACCTTAGCTTAGTTTTACTGTACTAATGTCATTAAAACAATAGTAATAAATAAAAGTAACTCCAGAGAAGACTCATGCCTGCCTTTTTTTCCTTCCTAGGCATAGGCAGTTAAATGATGGGAAAATACTTGCCTGACTCACAAGGAAAGCTTACAGTTTGCTGCTAATTTGCTGTAACTTGGCATGAATATCAGGAGGCAACCACAGCTGCTGTTTTTGAGGTTGCCAGAGGCCAGCATTACTGCTTATGTGATCCTGTTCCTTGTCCTGGGCAGGAGCACTGTGACAATTTAACTTTAAAATACCACCAAAGATCATGCTGATTTTTGGGTGATTAGTGTTGTCATGAAGCATGCAATTGCAGCCATGGTATGTTTGAAGGAGGTTTCAGAGAGCGTCACACCCCTGCACTAGAGTTCCCAGATGCATTGCAATTATTCTGATAAGCAGAGATTTTAAATGCAATCGAAGAAACTGAGCTGAAGTAAGCTTCCAGGAATAACACAGAATACAGATGTTATTCATCCCTTTACTTGGCCTTGTCTTTATCCAGTGTGGATTGTTGTTATGTTATACTTAGCATTAGTCTCCCTAGGTGTGGTGACCTACCCTTTAGCTCACGTAGTCTGGTTTGTTGCTGTTAAACTGAATCTAGTTATCTAAAACTTGTTCTGAACTGCATTAGCTTTTCATTACTTTTCAGAATGTATGTGGTAGCTTTTGATGTTGCTTTGCCATGTGTTTGATGTAGGGGATATTTGGTATAAATCCTTTGTCAACTGAAAAAGTATCAGCCGTTGCTATTAATTGTCTTGCTACTGTAAGGCTTCCTAGCAGTAAGAATTGTTAGATATGAAAACTTGAAATTTGTGTCACATCCCATGGAAGAGGCAGGGTAGTTTCTATAGTACTGAAGGTCACAATGGAATCAAATAGAAATAAATTAAAATTGCTGATGTAGTTCACTGGGTACTATTTTAGATGTCATGAAATGGGATACATTTGTTTCTATATTTATTATACTGTTAACCAACCAAACAAGAAAACTGAACATCAAACCACAGTGAATTCTTTGTATATTTACTTCCCCAACTTAGAATAAAAGCCAAATAACAGCAAAAAGCCCCAAACAAAAAAAAACCCAAAAAAACAAACAAAAAATCAAACCCAAGTCCCCTTAGCAGTTCATGGAAATGTGAACTCTAGTTTTGCCTGGCCGTACTAAAGAATTTATTGCAGGAAGTGACCCATGAACCATAGCTGAGATATCAAATGCTACCAAATAACTGATGGGAATATTTTTCTCCAAGGTATCAAACAGAAATTAAGGCATGTTTTTGGAAAGCTATTATTGACTCTTAGATTCTCGATTCCTTTTACATTCCTATAGAAACATGTAGGGCAATTTTGAGAAAATGTCACCTAGTAATCTCACAACCACCTGTGGCCTTCTCTAATATTTGGATTTCACTCTTTTAAATTATTTTTTTTTGTAAATAAAAGCCTATGTCCAGACAGTGTTTCTGGTAACATACTTTTATTGGTGAAAATTAGCAAAGGGCACAGTCAGTCCAAGAGCAATATGTACGTCTGCATATCAGTATGAGATGTAGTTATTTGTCTTTATTAATGAGTGTGAGGAATGAAATGTGATGTAGGAGGCTTGTTGGGCCCTTTCCTCAGTTATGCAGGTAATTGAAGAGTGTCATGGTGTGACTTTCAGCTGCCTCAACTCAGTGTAATCACAGGGAGTCTGAGAAAACCCAGTGACTTCTATCAGCCTGAGATTATAGAGTTGGAGAAATGTTCCCAGGGTTGCCAAACCAGAGACATTTGCCAGCTTTTAGTTAAGCATGGACATAACAATGAACCTGAAGTAATGCTCTGATTCAGGCTCTCCCACATTTCAGAAAAATACTCTGTAGTTTTATAATTGCAAGTCAAAAACTCTAGAGCTGAGCTTCCTAACAATGTAGAGATGCTCCACTCTGAGTCCTGGTTCCAAACTATACAGTTTGAGCTAGATTCTACAATGAATAGTAGAACAGTGTAGAATAACTGGTTACAGCTGCTATGAGAAAAGGGCCTGATGCACATGTTAAAAAACTCATAGTGGTAACTTTTTTCCTCCTATAGGTGATCTTAAGTTCTAAAAGCATGATTAAAAAATTATTTCTTTGGGCTGATTGCTGCATTTTCTGCATAGCATAGTGGCAAGTGAGTAGAATGTACCATTCATCTCCACTTTGTCTTCCCTTACGAGTCAGTGGTGATTTTGAAGCTCAATGAATATTTGACTAAATAAAAGCTGCCTGGAGAGTGGAATAGGCAATCCTTTTTGGCTTCCCTAGTTAAAAACACAGCTGCACAGACAAGAGACTTTTGGTTTTTGGCAGCGATTAAGTAAAATACACAAAGCCAGATACCCAAGGATTGGACCATAGGATGTTCAATTGCTTTCCATAGTTTATGCTGTTTGTGTGAGAACAGCAGTAATATCTCCCTGTCTTTCCCATAGGAATCAGATGATGAAGATGGATTGCCAAAGAAAAAGTGGCCAACCGTGGATGCATCTTATTATGGAGGTCGAGGTGTTGGTGGGATAAAGAGGATGGAGGTATTTGGCTTGTTCTTTAGTATTGTAAAAATCAGTACGTTTACTTATAAATCATAGCAATATGTTTTAATGTTATTTTTAAAAAGCAAACTTGATAGACTAGAGTCTGAGATTTAATTAGGGCTTGTCCACCTGATTGCACCTGCTGTCCAAGTAACAGACATCAAGCTGCCATAATTTGCATGAATAATTGAATGAATCTAGCATTATGAGCCAGAGAAAATTTGCAAGTTAATAAATGGGATAAACACCAGAAGATGTTTTAAAGTTAGTCAAACCTTTGAGTGCAGTTTGGTCCAGTTCTCTTGCCTCAGACAGACTTACACTGGTTTTGAGTATTTGAGGGTGCCATCTGTACTGTGCCTAGTTGGCTGGAAGCACTTGGTTTTGGGGAATTGAAACCATTGATTTTTCTTCTTGAGATTGTGGGTTGTTTTTAGGCTTGTTTGTTTTGTTTTGTTTTCTCAGTGAAGCATTAACTCCTAATGCACAAAAATACATGTGTTGCAATTGGCCAATAAATCAAATCCTGCCCTGGGATTTATGCACAAGCCCATCTTGATGTGTAAAGTGAAGCATTACTGTGAAAGAAATTTGCCTTGAGCTTTCCCATGTATGTTTCAGGGAACCAGTGGGATAATGCTGTGATCAATTGCTAACTCCTGTAAATAACCATGTTAGTGAAATAAATTCAACATTCCTAACTGTGGATAATATAAGGTAGGGAATTGCCACTCACCTGTATCAGCTGAATGCCTAATGGTGACTTTTAGGGATGTCATACCAGAAATGCCCACTAGATTTAATTGGTAGCTGAGGTGGGCTAATGTAACCAGCCAAGGATGTGGACCAGACTAGGGTTAACAGAATAAAAGCAATGGTTTCTCAGCAAGTCTGCAGTTGAGGTATTGCATCTTAATACCTTAACCATTTTCCTCAGGAGAATTTTATCCTTGATGCTGAGAAACACTGTGGATCATGTTGCCCTTGAATGCAGCATCACACTTCTGTTTGAGATAAGACAGACAACAAAATCAGAATTTCAACTTAAAATGAGTACTGAATAGTATCTGAAGATAAAGCTACTGACTTCTCTTGTGACTATACAAAGTTGTCTTTGAAGAAACTGGTTTTGGTAGTGGCTGCATGAGTTTCAGGACTGATGCTTTTAAACCTTTCCACTGTCTATTCCATTCCTTGTCTTCAACCCCTTGTTCACTTTTGAACTGAACAGCAGGAGCTTCTAGGTGCTAGCTGGGAAGACTGCCTACCTTCAGCTGGTGTTGCTGCCTGCTTTTTGCATGAGACAGTGTCTCATCTGTGTCCTACCAGAGCTGGGCAGAATGCTTCAGATTTCACCCGGTGATGGGTTACTCTGCCTTGGGTGCTTCCCATGACACCTAAGGTGCAAAGGCTAGTAGTTCAAGCAGCTTTTGAGTGAGACTATTTGACTTTTAAATGTGTATTTTTTATTACACTGGGAATTTGGTACCTTCAAAAATTTGGCTTTAATTTGGCATTAGGTCATCTGATGGGAAATAGATTAATGTCAGGGAAAACCACCTGCTGGTGGGGACTGCTGAAGTGTTTCCATTTACAGTTTGCTCTCCTGACTTCAGGTGCGATGGGGAGACAAGGGATCAACAGAGGAAGGAGCAAAACTGGAGAAGCCCAAAAATGCTATTATTAAGTTGCCAGAACAGGAGTATGAGCCATGGGAACCCAAGCCGAAAAAGCCCCATGTGAGAAAACCACCTTCCCAGCGGAAATGGTACACTCCCATCAAGGTAATGTGTCTGCCCCTCAGTTTTACCAAGCCTGTTGTGTCATGCATGCTACTACATCCCTCTTCCTTAGCACAGCCTTACTAATGGCAGAAATGGGACATCCTCTTTCAAAAAAAAAGCTGGTAACCCTTACATTTGCCATTTCTTGGAACATGCATTTCACCTGACACTGTGTTGCTGTAGTTCTTTGAGGAAGAGTGGAGGGTGTTGGAGGGCATGAACCCCTGCTCATCTTCCCTCCCTTAGCTCACCCCTTCTTCTCAAGTACTTTTGCACAGCCTGGATTGCATCTGAACTCTTAGGGAGGGCAGGTGCTGTGTTGTACCATCTTTAGGCAGCATACAATGAGGATCAGATGAAGAGCACTGTCCTTGTTCTTATTGCACTGTGGCTGGGACCACGGTTTGGGATTCAGCTCTGTACCCCTCTAGTTCAGCCACAAGATGCAGTGTTTAATTTTGGGGAAGTAGCTCAGTCTCTCCAATCTTTTATCCTCTTTTCTCCTGTGTCATTATAGTGTCTGGTGTCTTCCTGTCTTTTAATGTTTGTATCCTCACAGAGCCTGTGAGGCAGGGCAGGGCTGTTACCTAAGCTTACAGAGAATGAGCTGGAGGGCTGGTACAGGCCAAGGGAGCAGCATACCATTCTTGTCCCAGAAACCTGTGACCATGTCCCTTGGTGGGATGAGCTCCCCACTCTGACCACAAATCAGTTTAATAGTGTTTGGATTTATTATCTGAAAAGCACATGGCAATGTTAAGGTCTGTCTAGGTAGGTAGACCTTGTGGCTGTTTGTCCATGCTCCAGCTTGCCCCCCATCAATACGGTACTTTTGTTGTTCTGCCTTTTGTTAGTGTAACACTTGCCTAATTGTGCCTCTTAAGGGAGTTGTTCATGTTAAACTGCAGTCATCCTCAGTGAGTCCTGAGCAGGCTGAATTTGGCCCATTGGAAATTTGGTACATGTTACCCCACTGAGATCTCTTTCTGTCTGTCCAGAAAATCCGCCTATAGAGGGCAGGGGCACAGGAACAATGTTTGTGCAGACAGAAATACAGAAAGGCTGGATCAGCTCACCCATAGTTTAAGCTTCTTGGTCATATCTTTTTTTTTCTTTATTATTATTCCAGGGCAAACTTGATGCACTGTGGGCTTTGGTTCGACGAGGCTATGATCAAGTCTCTCTTATGAGACCGCAGCCAGGGGATAAGGTAAGGTGTCACAAACACTTTGGCATGTCACTTCTCTGTTAGCAACAGCCATGCTCTTCCCTCCCAACCACCCACCTTTGTTTTCCTTTTTTTGTGAGCTTGTTTTGCACGTTACCCTAAGGCTAAAAATTTGTCACAAGAACCAGAGACTTCACAATGAGCTAAAATGTTTGCTGTGGCATCTATTTAAAAGTATTGCCCCAAAAGGTCAACAGCAATATCTGCACTGTGATGATTTGAGCTGACTGAGGAAGAAGCTGGCTGGCCACAGTAGTATATGAAACCTTTTTCAGCCATGTAAGTCCTTAGCCTTTTTTTGGGGCATACATGTTGAAGTTGAAGGATAGGTTCTTTGTGGGTTCTGGGAAACTACTTGTTTTGAGTTGAATATACAGTAGTGTTTCTACAACAGTAATTATCCTTCCTACCCAACTTGATAATAATGTTTCTTAGATCTCGTAATGGAGTTAAGTGATTAATGAGAGTATGAACTGTGCAGGTGATGAAGAAACAGCTAATAGCAGAGTTAATGAAGAATAAAATTTCCATAGAATTCTGTGCAAAGTCACATTTCTTAGTCATATCCTATATGTAGGCAGAGTATCTCCTGCCTTGATAAAAGTTGATTGGCCAGACATGCATCAGGAGTAGATTGCTTCTGGGAGGCAGCAGGAAGTTTGTGCCTCTTGGAGCCACAGAGATGTCTGCATAGTGTCCCTCGGTCACTTCCAGTAGCGTAGTTCAGAGCTCTCGCAATTTCCCCATGAGAGCCTGGCACCACTCTGGTTGTCTCTGTCTTGCTATTCTGGGGGACAGCTCCATAAGAATTGAGTGTTTGTGTTTTGCCTGTTGCACCTTCAGATTTGACTTTCTGCAGTGGTACTTTGAAACGTGAGGACTGAGCAGAGATGACAACATCTTTTTCTCCCCTGTGGCCCTTCTCTGGCCAGGGTTCCTACTTTTCATCACCGTTGCTCCCAGGGGAAGGGGTTCTTGAGTTAGAGCAGTAGGGGCCATCAAGTGTTTTTCTGGGGTAGGAGTAGTGCAGATGCCCTTGTGCTGGGCTTGTTTTTGCCTGGGTGGCTTTCACACCTAATAACGAACTTTAAAAGTAGCCCTAATTTTAATCATTGAGGGCAAATAAGTTGCATCCCTCTGGCTTTTGGCAAAATACTGTTATGGCATTTGTCTAGTTATTAACCCAATATCCAGTTTCAGTATTGAAGATTTAATGTATTCCTGTGATACTTTATAAAATGGTCTTAACTGTTTCACTAAGCTGAATTTTCAAGGCAGCTCTGTTTGAGACCCATTTACTTTTTGAGCACGATCTAGAGCTTCTGAATAGGCTCTTTAGGCCAGCTGTATTTTGATAGCGCTAACATTGTATAATATGAGTCTATCCTCTGCCTTTCACTCTCTCAGTTGGTACACTTCTATCAGTGCGGAGCACAACAGAGCCTCTGTTAGCCTGTGTGGTCAAGAAGCATGCAGGGGGCTGACTCTGAACAGGCATCCTTAGTTTCTTGCCTTCTAGCTCTGCTGTAGGGAGGACAAGGAGCTCAAAAGAGGCAATGTAAAACAGAGTGCTGAAGGATTATTGTATCAAGGAGAAGATTAGAAAAATCGAATGTACATCTGGGAAATAGGGTGGAAAGAATGCTATTGAGCCAGTTTCAGTGGAAGAATAGGATCATCTCTGTTCCCTGGCCTATGAAATTAACTAAAGCTGAAGAATATTGAAAGGGAAACAAGAAAATTATTATACATCCTTCTGCTGTTAAAAATAAATAAATAAAGGATGTCACAGGCCTGTATTTCATGGAGAAAACTAGCAAGAAAAGAGCAAGGTTATTATTTATCATTTAATTGACTTTTCTAGTAGCAATCCCTTAGTGGAAAAGTGGCTCCTTGTGAGAGAGGCTTTTGGTGGAGGAGAAGTGTATAAGTATACCAGTATCTACACATACGTGTATATGAGTATACCCATGCAGGCACACACTTTGTGGCTGAAGAATGGGGAGATAAGTCAGTGCTACGAGTGATCAGCAGCATGGAGGGCCTGGAGCTCTGGCTGTACAGAGCTGGAGGAGCCTGGCACACCCCAGAGCAAGCCCACAGCTTTGCTTGACTCCCCCTGGCAGGAACTAGGTCACTCCTGTATGTGCCTGCTGGCAGCAGTCAGTGAGGTTTTGGTTTACTCTTGGGTGGAAGTATAGCCTGACATGCCACGATGCATGATGCTCTTCCAGTCTGCACCATCCAGAGACCAGTGACTGTGTGGTGGTCTTGGAGAGCGGGATTGTGTTGCTTTGTGGGGTTTTGAGGGATTGGTGGGGTGGGGTAAGAGTTATTTGGGGGTTTTGCTTTGCCTTTTTTGTTTTTAAGGTAATTGCATAGTTGTCTTGGGTGTTCAAGAAAACTTAGAATTTAAAAAGCAAAAGGAATACAACTGTGTTTTAGGATTTGGATTCATAACTCAGAAAATTCCCATCTGAATTTCCCACAGTCAGTCATATTATTATCCTTACATTTCCAGGGATTACCAGAGATGCAGGTGGTTTCTGACTGGAATAAGATAATTCACTGTAGTTATATTTTCCGAATTTCTGTATCTTAGAAAAAAAGTGTTAGTTTTCCATCCTTTTGCTTCAGTTGGGCATATGTTTACTTTTTGTAGCCATTCGGAGAAATTATAGCAAAACACTTTTCTGCACAATGAAAATACTAGTTGTAGAGAAGAGAACGTTCACAGTACACAGAGAAAAATATTTTTCATATGGCTTCTGAGATGGGAAAGATGACAAAGAATAATTTTTTTACATTAAAATATTTTTTAAAAACTTAAAAGTTCAATTTATTTCATAATATGAAAATGAGTAGTGTGGTTTGGGAGCTTTTCTCCCAAAACTCTGAGAAAATACTTGTAGAAAACCTTTCTGTGATAGTTTTGGTAGAAAACAAAATATGTTAATGTTTTAGGCATATTCACTAATGTATCTGGTTTTGTCACAGAGAAGCAGGAGCCTGTTAGGCCTTTTTCAGAGCTGTTCCGCATCTTGCCCCACAACACGGCCCTTTTCTCTTTAGCTCTGGAAACCATACAGCACAGGAAGTATTGCTAGCCCAAGATTTCAAATAATTATTTATCCCCCACTCCCATAATGAAGTGAAGTTAAAAATGGCAGTGTCAACTCTTTTTGAGTCTTCATGTGATGAAGTCCATTCCAGAGTGTTTGTGTGTGAGAGTGGAAACTCAGGCTGAAGCACGTGTACAGGAATATAGGGCTGACTGCTGCAAGGGCCTTCTTGTTGTCCTTTGGGTGGCCAGGACTGTTGTTCATTCATCCTCATTTCTTCTTTATTGTGATCATGTTACCTTTTCCAAACCACCTTCATTTTTCCTTACACATGCCTCCCTTGGACTCCTGCCCTAGATATTCCCTTCCATTTTCTTTAGCGGTTTCTTCCTCACTGTTTCTCTCAGCCCTTGTTTCCCTACCCCTCCCATTGATAAGACAGACTGGTACCCTGCAATCCTGCCATCTGGGAACAGTGGTCTGGTGACCAGCTTCCTTCCCCTCTTCCTCTTATTCTGCAGGAACTGAGCTGCTGGTATCAGCATGCCCTGGGTTATGGCTTTGCTGCAGAAGTGGCTGAGGCTCCTAAGGGCTACTCTGCCCTGGCTAGTTCCTTCCATGGACTTAGCAAGAAGAGGATCTCAGGATGGATGACCCATCAGTGTTAGACAGGATTGTATTAATAGGACTGGCTGTGAAAATCACAGGCACTTTTTGGGACACTGTATTTAAAGAAAACCAGCCAAGAAGGAGCTCTGATGCCTCTTCTCCTGGGAACTGTGCCCACGTTTGACTTGGCTCAGAAGACAGCTCCTCCTCTTGGTCTCCATTCAAGATCATGTCATGGCACCGCTGCTGACACTGGTTATTAGTTGAGCAAGTATCTCAATAAAGGGTCACAGGATCCACTCACTCAAATTCTTCAGATCAACCCTAGCAGGACCTTTGTTGCACCAAGGATGGGACAAAAGGAATAAACACATTCAGCTCTACCCCATCATTAGCAGATAGGCTGCTATTTGTGGGATGGCTTTTTGCTGAGCTCTCATGCAGCATCAGCAGAGGAGCAGAAAGAAGGGCTAGCAGCTCTGTTGTGGATTTTTGGGCTGTCTTCCTTGCAAAAATGTACACAGGTGAAGCCTTTGTAGGCATTTGCACTACTGCTGCTGTGATGGATCCCTTAAAGCTAGGCTGCCATTTTCCCCTTCCTCCTCAAGGACCAACAGTCACTCTTTTTACCCAAGAAAGGGACACTGCTCATCCTAGCAACAGGGAGCATGTCAGAGTGGCTACATGGGCTGGTGAGCTATGTGTTGCTCAAGATACTTAGGCTGCCTTGAGGACTTTCTCATCACTGTGTTGGCATCCTCCTGAGCTTGCAGGAGGCTGCTATGAAGAGTGGAGTTCAGGAAGTATTAATGTCTGGCTGTCTTGAAGTATCTCATAGAAAAGACAGTAGCTGGTGAGGCAGGTTGTCAGTAGGTTCTACAAAAGGGAACTTTCAAGCTCTTCTCCTTGGCCTCACAGATAAAAAGTGGGCCTGTTACCAGCCCTAGCAAGTAAACATTAAAAGCCCCAAAACGTCCAGAGAGGAAAGTGAGATGCTCATTTCAAATGGTCTGCTTAGTTGCTGCTTTCAGCAAATCCATTCCATTTTGCATTTCAGCACACACTGTCACAGGAAATTCTCAGAGGCTCGGTTTACCGAAAACCTCAGCTGAAACAAAGACGACATTTTTTCCCCCAGGCAGAATTGCTCTTTTCCACTTTAAAGCTCTAGAAAGTGATCTAATTTTTTTTTGTCACTGAAAATTACCTGCAACAGAGGCAGAGAGTAGACTGAATTTTGATGTCACCATCACCCCTGTATACTCATGGGACTTTACTTAGAAAAAAAGCAGTGGTTTTAGCAGCACTACT